TTGCAAAACTGCTCCATTGAAGCAACAGCAAGAGCCTTAAGTGCTAGCGTTGCATTTTTGACCATGATCACTGGGGCATGTTCATTATTTCTCACAGCATCCTGAGATTTGACAGGTAATGCAGACAACAGAGCAACACAACTGATTCAGCTGAAGCTGATGATTAGCATTCAGTTGTGTTGTACAAAAGATTTGCATATTCTGGGGGTGGCAGAGATCACCTCTTTGTACTGATCAATACAATTGAGATCCAGATGGAGTCCTCCTGGGCTGGTATTCGCCACTTTCCAGAAATGTTTTCCCCTAATTAATCTCAATTTTTAACCACATTCTTCACCTGTCCCGGGAGATTGCTTACCTTCCAGGAATTGAGTGAGCTAAGGAAAGTAGATGTCAAAATGATTCTACAATTGTATGGGACAAGCTGGATTTACTCAGTAAATTTTTTTCTTCTCATACGCACATTGGTTTGAATTCTTGGTCGCATTCTTGGGATTATTCACAAAGTCCTGATGCTGTATAGGAGCTGATCTTCATTTAAATACAAGGCCTATACTTTCACTGACGTAGACAAATCATTATCTTGTGTCTAAAAGAGAACAGTTCTCTTTTATATTTAATACGATTTGAGAAATACAACGCAAATTTCATTTTTAAAAATAGTTGTGGCTAGATGGAGCAGGAGCTCATTGCCTGCATTCATGTAGAAAAAATAAAACATTTTAAGATATATACAGTTGCCAGACTTTGTTGTTAGAACCATTCCTGTACTTGGAAACCAAATCTGTCAAAGTATGTGATGCCAAAGCAATCAATCCTTTGTGGAATGATAATACTGTACATTACCCTATCTTCAACCCAACCCAGTTTTCCCAAATTCCATTTTTCCTAAATTCCAGGTTTTCCATCTATGGTGGTGCCGAATAAGACGACTATTACCTCAGGATGCTGTTACCAGTGCTATCAGATTCCCCAACATGCCTGTCAAATACTTCTCCAATGCTACAATTCCATTGCAGTTCTGTGAAGTGCTTACAAAACTTTCAGCATTTTCCTATTCAGTTCTCCTCCTTTATAAATATAGAACTAAAGATCTTATTCAATTTTTCAGCTATGGTAACATCTTCACTTAGCATTTGAAGAGACAGCAGTGCTAAGTCTTGCATTTTTACCTACTTCATCATATTATGGTCCTTGCCATCTCTCTGTTGGATGTACTTAAAAACATGAAGCATATTGTTAGCCGAGCATGAGAAAATTAGCTACAAGGGAGTTACAACTGACCACAAGATAGTATGCCTGAAGTCAGCATGGAGATCACAAATACAGGGTCTGCATTGAGGTCAAATAGTTACTACACAATCATCATGGAAACTAAATCATCTGCAGTGTTTAAGGCAGGTTTGTGCAACAGAAGAGCTTACACAATAGAGACTAACAGCAGAGACTGGGGATAGTAGGACAGGCAGGAGACAAAAACAGCAACATGCCACAGTACAAGAGTCAGAAGTTGCCACAGACCTAGTCATAGACCTAGTAAGAGATTAATTGGAAAATTCACATATCAGAGCAGCTTATTCCCTGTTCCTAATGAATACTCAGACTCAAAAGCAAATTACACACCAAGGAGATCATATAAAGTAAAAACAGGAAATACTGGAGAAACTGTAGTAGGTCTGGCAGTATCTGTGAAGGAAGAAAAAGAGTTAACACTCCTGCCAGGTGAAGCAGCAATTTATTTGTCCTCACTGATTTCAATGTTTAGTCCTTTACACTGGCGAGACAAAATACAGACTGGGTGGCCGCATTGGCTGTAGGAATGACCCTGACCTTCTAGTAGCTCGGCATTTCAATGAATGATCTTGGTCCACAGCAACATTGCCATCTAGGCCTGCAGTGTTTCAGTAATGCTAACACAAGCTAGAGGAACAGTACCTCATTCTGAACTGAACATTAAGTTCAACAATCTCAGGGCATGAATGCTGTTCTAATTTTGATTACACTCCTCCCCATCACTATACTTGTTTGTGTTTGCTGGTTTTGGTCTCAGCAGAGCTGAGCCACTTTCTCCTTTCAAGCTTACTATTCACATCTATTTAATGTTTCAGTCTCTTCCTAACCATCATTATCACTCCCTTTGTCTTTTGTTTTAGGCACTGTCACCGTTTATTGCACTTGTTCCCCTTCATAGGTTGTCAACTCCATAAAAAAAATTATTTTCCAGGCCCCTTCTGTTTCGATGAAATGTCTTTGGATTCAAATTGGTAACACTGTTTCTTTCTCCACAGATCCTGCCAGACTGCTGAGTTTCTCCAGCATCTATGTCTGATTTCCAGCATCTGCATTATTTTGCTTTTACTTGAGGGACCAACGATGTGAGTGCTTGAAGTATTAAAGAGAGAGACGTAATGCAGATCACAACACTGAAGGATGGAGAAGCACTTCCAAAGCCATTTTTTTCCTTCGACTGAAAACCTATTAGTGGGACATAATTCTGAGTTAGGATAGCAGTGGATCAAGTGGGCTGGAACATAAGGAGCTGGCTTCATTTTACAGTTGCACAGAGCTCTGATTCAAGCCCATCTAGAGTACCAAATTCAGTCTGGGCACTACACCTGAGGAATGATCCACTGGTCACGGAACGGGTGCTTAGCAGATCACCAAAATGATACCAAGACTAAAAGTATTAGATTACGGGCCAGATTGCACAGCTAATAAGTAACAGATTTCACAGTGTAGATGACAGAAGTAGTATTTTTGGTCACCTGTTCTAACACTTCCTTAATTTGTCAAGAGTCGTATTTTGTTTGCTACCATTCCTGTGAAGCAGACTGGAATGTTTAATCAAATTAAAGGTAGCCAACAAATGCAAGGTGCATTATCAGGTGAGGGTAGATCTCATTTTTGAGGCATGTTACCAGTTTTGGGGCATGGACGTTCCCAAACACCATATGACAACTAAATTCCTGAAATTCTTTAGTATAACTCAAAGACATTGATCTGTTTTTAGAATGGTGATTTCTCAGGAATGAGATTTCTATGGTATAAGCTGTTTGCAGTGCCTCAGCTATATACAAGTCTGAGAAAAAAGCTGAAAAGAAAGTGAGGAAAAAATAGACTTGCACTTACATGGTGCCTTTCACAACATGAGGTTGCCCCAAAGTGATTTACAGCCCATGAAATACTAATGAAGTGTAGTTACTGTTGCAAGATAAAATATGTAGCAGCAAATTTGCACACAGCAAGAGACCACACAGACAGAGATGAAAAAGGACAAAGAATGAACTCTATCTGAAAACCACACCCATGTCCCCACACACAGCCTAAATTAAGAATATTGGCACACCAAATTATAAGTAACATCTTGTATTAAATCGGCAGGCCTGCACAGACATATATAAACAAAATTCAAATTACAAACAACATCAGATATAAAACCATAGAACGACAGAGTCAAATATGTCTTTGCCAAAGGGGAAATTAGTACAGCGTCAATTCCACTGTGGGTGGTATCATACAGTAGAATGAATGGTTTGCCCTACTGGAAACTCTATCATGCTCATTCTGCTACAACACTACCACTCTAAATCTTTGACCTGAATTCAACCCCATTGATGGAATAAAAAACTCCTTTCTCTCTTCTGGTTAAAAATGTCTGTGAAATGTCTTTGGGCAATCTAACAACCATTCCTAGTGCATGTGGATCAGGGACATAAAACTGCCCATAATTTAGTCCTAAATTGTCAGCCTCATTGAATGAGACAAGGTTTATTGCAATGAGAACTAGAAACGTCATAAGGGATACTGTACTGAAATCATCCTTACCCACGATATAAATGCATTCAGATGCACTTGTGCAGATGTGCAATAAGAAACTTAATTAACTTTTCTCCATGCATGTTGGGAGCAACTGTAGCAATGCCAGTGCTACCTTACAGATCTTCAACAAAGGCAGAAATTAATCCTGGAGCTTTTCAGGCTGTACCCTCATACTAAACACTGATCAGGAGTCCTGGGCAGTCCACAAAGCCGCATTTTCTGGGTGCCCTATGCTAGCACTTCCACTGAGCTGAAATAATCCTTTTCAGTTTGTTTCTATTTCTCCTGCAGGTCAGACTCTGCTATTCCTCTAAGGAGAACTGTGGATATCCCTCGAAGTGTTAAAAAGACAAAGACCTGCTATTCAAGGTCCCATTTACTCACTCTATAGGCATAGGAAGCGTTCAGGGAAATTGATCCTAATGATTTGTTACTTGTGTTCTTTGCAAGGAAAGCACGAGAACTGTAGAGGAAGACATAATCCTGTGCTCATGCCAACAAAGAAAATCAACAGGTTACCGGTGATGCTTTGAGCATTGGCTGTGATATTACATTTTACTAAGACTCTACTATATAATCTCTGAACAACGAGCAGAACTTTGTTTTACCATTACTATGTATGAAGCATTTTGATCCCCTAAGCTTATGTTCTCTCTTAAAATAATCTGGATCCCATTGATAGATTATTTAAAGATAAGTCAATTTTTGATGTAATCACGAGTACTTCAATCATTTATTACTATAGTATCTAAATTTATTTAACAATTTATTCTGTGTAAATTAATATACCTCTGTATGACCATCTTGGATGTCTTTGGCAATAAGAGTTATTGCACTTCGTCATTTTTGGTATGAGGGTTGATATACAAACCTAGTTTGGTTATCATTAAAACCTTTCAATGCTAGCTAACCAACAGACATTGTAACTGGAACTCTAAATGGGAACAGCATGTTACAATCCAATTTTCTGATATGCACACATTGATGAAAAGGGATTTACAAGGAAACCATTAATCTGATATCTTTTAATTAATAATAGTTTCATATTGACATTTTCAAATACAGTAAGTATTTCTGAACTATTGTACCATACAATGTGAAAGGAGCCACTTCTCCAGATATTTGCAGTGCTCTCGAGTACTGCTCAGCATTGTTGGAAAGAATATCAGAACATCCCTTACCATTTGCAATACACCAATGTAAGCCATGAGGTAGCCATTGTGCTCCGCCCGTAAGTTGAAATGGTCCATAGCAACAACTGAAAACATACTCTGGAAGACTCCTGCAACAGAATATAAAAACCAATCATGTAAAGTCTCAATGCTTTTCAAAGGGAAATAAAAACAGACTATATTTTAGAGTATGGGTTTTGTGACAGAGAAGTTTTCTAAGGGCCTTGACCGTATGCAGACAACTACATGGTTGCATTTTGCTTAGATCGCCCAAATAATTTAGAACTAACTTACTAAGAGATTTACGTAAAGAGAAATTCACATTGCTGTATTAAAACTCGAGGATGAGAAAGGTCCACTGGGAGAAATTTAAGATACAGAATCCACATTCTTCGCAAGCAGATGAGTGGACAAAAGAATGACCTTTGCAGTTTTCTTTGATTTCATTTTTTCTAATCTCTAGTGGCTAACAATAAGTGCTGTAGATGTACATTAGAAGAGCGCCAATTATTTAGCTAGAAAATGCTGTAAAATTAGAGAATGTTTTTGAGAACCCACTAGAATGACCTATCATTCAGCTTAGCAGAACCATACAAACTAAAAGATCTCAGGATCAAATAGTTAGTTGATGGAAGCATGATAAATTAGTGCAAAGTATCAGATATTTCACCTTGTGCTCCTTGGCCAGTGTAAATATTAGCCAGTTTCTGCTCCTGATCACAATCCATTGAGCTCTTTTACAAAGTGCACATATATTAGGGAAGACAGCAATAGACTCAGCTGCAATATTCTCCTCAGTGGAAGAGTCTGTCAATACTCAGTGTTTAGAGTCACACCAACAAATGACTTTTTGGGGGTTATAAGAGGGAAAGAGAAGTGGAGGAGTAAAAAGGGGGAGGTAAATCAACACAAGATAATATAGTAGATAAGTGAAAATTATAAGAAATCTTTTGGGACGCAGTAGTCAGCAAATATACTGTGCCCAATTTACGCCATGATATTGCAGTGATATAGCCACTTAATTATAATTGGTGCAAAACTAATCAAGATCCACGAAAGTGGCAAGACCCATTAATTTCAAGGCAGTTATTACCAGGCACTTTAAAGGGATTATTCTGAGATTAGCCTAGCCAATACGTAAGATCGCACTCATGTTACAGAGAATTTGTAAAGGACATTTCCCACCTGCCTGAAGACAGAAAGAGAAACTCTAAACTGCTTTTTGACATTTTGTTTTGTTTCCTAATAATATTTTCTGTGCTCTGTTGCCAATTGTTTAGCCACAGGAGCGCTCCAATTATCTCATGCACGTATAATTCTCTTTGTATGAGTCTCTATTGTGATTGTTAGAAGTGCTATTGCCAAGGAAGGGCCTGATCCTGCCCTCACATCACTCACATGTGTCCAGGAGTCAAGATAGTGACTAGACCTGGGAACTCTGGCTGATTTTAATTTCTCTTCCATTGCTTTTTTATCACATGTCCAAGCTCATCCTATCAGAGACCTATTTCTTGCTCCATAGATCTTATTCTTTTCAACATTCAACTTCCACCCTGAGCTCTACTGTCAGCTGATAGTATTAATACTCCCTCTTCCTATGGTACTGTTCCTCCTTCAACTAATCACTACTCCCTCCTCCAAAAAATCAACCCATGATCCCGTAAGTATAGAAGATTAATGGCATATGAATTAATAGGTATTTTGCATCAGTCTTTACTATAGGAGATATAAGTAACAAGCAAGGAGTAGCTATAAATTAGGAAATTACAATCACCAGAGAAGTGATACTGAGTAATTTGTTGAAGGTAGAGACTGACAAATCCCTTGGTCCTGATGGATTACATCCTAGGTTCTTAAAGAAGCAGCTAGTGAGACAGTCAATGCATTGGTTTTAATTAACTAAAATTCCTTTGATACAGGGAAGCTCCCATTAAATTGGAAGATAGTAAATATATGACAAAATCAAGGAAACTATAGGCTAGTAGTTTCAATATGGAAAATGGTAATAGCCATTATGAAAGAAATTATATAAGGGCACTTAGAGAAGGTCAAGATAATCAGGCAGAGTCAACATGGTTTTGTGAAGGAGAAATCACATTTAATTACTCCACTGGAGTATTGTAAGGAACTATGAATAAAGGACAATTAATTAATGTATTGTGCCTAGATTTCCAAAAGACATCTGATAAAGTGATACATCAAAAATGATTGCAAAACAAAACAAAACAAAACTCACGATGTAGGGAGTAGCATATCAGCAGGAATAGAAGATTAACAGGAAGTAAAGAGTACTTCATTGGCAAGAAGTAACATGTGGTGTGCCACAAGGATCAGTACCAGTGCTTTAATTGTTGCCGACTTCACAAAGATAGATAGATAGGAAAGTTAACTTATGAAGAAGACATAAAGCGGCTACAAAGATATATAGATATATTAAGTAAGCAGTCAAAAATATGGCAAATGGAGCATAATGTATGAAATTGTCAATTTTGGTAGGAAGAATAAAGAAGCAGTGTATTATTTAAACAGTGAGAGATTGCAGAGCTGAAATGCAGAGGTTCTGGGTATGGGGCTGCGCCAATTGCAAAAGACTCATGCAGGCAGAGTAAGTGATTAGGAGAACTAATAGAGGTTTATAAATTATTGTGAGGGGAATTGAATACAAAAGTATGCAGGTTATGCTTTGGTTACACAGGAAACTGTTGAGACTACATCCAAAGTACTATGTACAGTATTAGTCACTTCATTGAAAGAAGGATGTAAATGCATTGGAAGCAGTTCATATCAGGTTTACCAAACCAGTACCTGGGAATGGACAGATTGTCTTTTCAGGAAAGGTGAGACAGGCTAGGCTTCTGCTGGAGTTTAACAAAACAAACGTCAACATGATTGTAACATATAAAATGCTGAGGAGTCTTTACAGGGTAGATGTGGAAAAGATGTTTCTTCTTATGAACAAATATAGAACTAGGGACCCACTGCTTGAAAATAAAGTATCGCTCATTTAAAACAGAGATGAGGTGAATTTTTTTCCTCTCAGATGATCATGAGTCTTTGGAACTCACTTCCTGAACAAGATGTTGGAAAGGCAGTTTTTGAATATTTTAAAAACAGAGGCCGGTAGATTATTGGTAAGAAAAGTGGCAAAGTTATCAGAGGTAGGTGGGAATCTGGATTTGAGTTACAATCAGATCACTGTAATCTTATCAAATGCTAGAGCAAGTTGGAGGTGTCAAATGGACTACTCCTGCTCCTTATTTGAATGTTAATCTTTGCAAACAATCACCCCACCTCTAACCTTCCTCATCTCACTAAAACTCCATGAATGTGTTGTTGTCTCCAGAATCTTTGCCCATTTTGCTTGGGATGATATTTGTCCCAATCAGATTTCCACCCCTGTTAAAGTCTTCCCAAACTCACAAATGGCATCCTGTTTGACTAAAACAAAGGTTAACTAATCCTTTACATCCTTCTCAACCTGTTTGCAACCTTTGTCATGTTTACTAAAAAATCCACTCCAATGCCTGTTCACTGTCACCAAGCTTAGTAATTTCTTTTATTCACTCATGGGTGTGGGTGTCGCTGGCTGGACCTGTAATTATTGCCCGTTGTCTCTGAGAAGGTTGTGGTGAGCTGCCTTCTTGAACCACTGCAGTCCTCAGGATTTTGACCAAGCGACACCGCAGGAACAGTGTTATATTTCCAAGACAGGATGGTGACAGGCTCGGACAGGAACTTATATAGTCTATTTTATCGATTCAGCTGTAGCCAGTGAACAACCTTTCTTCTCTTACTATTCTTCCACCATTATTGCTGAGTTAATTATGTAGTAGGTAATAGATTCGCATGGAGAAACTATTGATTAGATTAGTGGAATAGGAACATAGTTATAAATGGATCATTTTCTGATTGGCAAGGTGTAACTAGAAGAGAACCACAGGAATCAGTACTAGGGCCTCCATTATTTAACAATTTGTATCAATGACTTACATGATATGTACTGTTCCTAAGTTTGCTGATGACATGGTAATTGATAGGAGAGTAGGTTGTGAAAAGGACATACAGAGTCTGCAAAAAGATAGATTAAATGAGTAAGTAACAAATTTGCAGATGGAGTATAACATGGAAATATGTGATCTCGTCTACTTTAGCAGGAAGAACAGAAAAACAGTATGCTATTTAAATGGAGAGACTGTAGAATTTTGTGGTACAGGAAGAGTGCCCTGGTACACAAATCACAAAAACATTTGTATGCAGGTACAGCAAGTGATTAGGAAGGCAAATGAAATGTTGAAATTTACTACAAGGGGATTGTAGCAAAAATGTAAGGCAGGCTAATTGTACAAGGTCTTAGTGAGACCACATCTGGAGTCTACCATTTTAGTCTTCTTACTTATATATTCACAGAATGCTCACTCAGCTGATTCCTGTGAGAAACTGGTTATCTGATAAAGAATGGTTGACTTAGAGTTAAACATACAGCATGGAAATAGACCCTTTGGTCCAACTTGTCTGCACCCACCAGTTGTCCCAATCTGACCTAGTCCCATTTACCAGCATTTGGCCCATATCCTGTTGAGCCCTTCCCATTTATGTGACCATCCAGATGCCTTTTAAATGTTGTAATTGTATCTGCCACCACCACTTCCTCTGGCAGCTTGTTCCATACACGCACTGTGAAAAAGTTAAGCCTCAGGTCTTTATTTAAAATCTTTCCCCTCTCACCTTAAATCCATGCCCTCTAGTTTCTCTATGACTATCCATCCTATCCATTCCCCTCATGATGTTATAAACCTCTATAAGGGTCACCCCTCAGTCTCCGACGCTCCAGGGAAAAAAGCCTCAGCTTATTCAGCCTCTCCCTTTAACTCAAACCTTGCAGTGCCGGCAACATCCTTGTAAATCTTTTCTGCACCCTCTCAGGATTAATGACATCCTGCCTATAGCAGGGAGACCAGAATTGTACACAGCATTCTAATAATATCAGACCAATGTCCTATACAGCTACATGATGTCCCAACTCCTATATTCAATGTTCTGACCAATGAAGGCAAGTGTACCAAACACCTTCATCACCACCCTGTCTGCCTGCGACTCCACGTTCAAGAAACTGTGCACCTGCACCCCTAGGTCTCCTTGTTTGGCAACACTCCCCAGGACCCTACCATTATCTGTATAAGTCCTGCCCTGGTTGCCTTACGAAAATGCAACACTTCCCACTTAACTAAATTAAACTCCATGTGCAATTCCTCGGCCCATCTGACTAAGGTCCTGTTCTACTCTGAGATAATCTTCTTCACTGTCCACTATACCACCTATTTTGGTGTAATGTGCAAATTTACTAAACATATCTCCTACATTCACATCCAAATCATTTATATAAATGATGAAAAACAGAGGAGCCAGCATCGATCCTTGTGGCACACTGTTGGTCGCAGGCCTCCAGCCCTAAAAGCAACATTCTACCAACACCCTCTAACTTTTACTTTCAAGCCAATTTTATATCCAATTGGCTAGCTCACCCTGGATCTCATGTGCTCTAACCTTACTAACTAGACTACCATGCGGAGCCTTGTCGAATGCTTTGCTGAAGTCCATATAGACAATGTCTAACGTTCTGCCTTCATCAATCTTCTTTGTCACCTCTTCAAATACTCAATCAATTTAGTTAGACACAATTTCCCATACACATAGGAATGTTGACTATACCTAATCACTTCTTGCCTTTCCAAATGCATGAGAATCCTGTCCCTCAGAATCTCCTCCAAAAACTTACCCACCACTGACATAAGGCTCACCAGTCTGTAGTTCCCTAGATTTTCCTTACAGCCTTTCTTAAGTAGTGGTACAACATTAGCCAATTCTTTTGGCACCTCACCTGTGGCTGTCAATGATACAAATATCTCCTCTAGGGGCTCAGCAATCTCTTTCCTAGCTTCCAACAAAGTTCTGGGAAACACCTGATCAGGTCCCAAGGATTTATCTAACTTTATGTGTTTAAGACCTCCAGTACCCCGTCCTCTGTAATATGGACTCTTTTCAAGACATCACTATTTATTTCCCCGAGTTCCCTAGCTTTCATATCCATCTCCACAGTAAACACTGACATGAAATATTTGGTTAGTATCTCACCTATCTCCTGTGGTTCCACACATAGACGGCTGTGTTGATCTTTAATGGGCCCTATTCTCCCTCTTATTACTCTTTTGCTATCCACGTACTTATAGAATCTCTTTGGATTCTCCTTAACATGATTTGCCAAGGCTATCTCATGTCCCCATTTTGCCCTCCTGATTTCCCTCTTCAGTATAACTCCTACTGTCCTTATACTTCTCTAGGGATTCACTCAATCCTAGTTGTCTATTCCTGATACATGCCTCCTTCTTTTTCTTGACCAGAGTCTCAACTTTTCTAGTGATCCAGCATTTCCTACCCCTACCAGTCTTGCCCTTCACACTAACAGGAATATACTCTGAACTCTCGTTATCTCATTTTTTTCTCTGATTTCCCAGTCGTGCCTTTACTTGTGAATAGCCTCCCCAAATCAATGTTTGAAAGTTCCTGTCTAATACTGTCAAAATTGGCCTTACTCCAATTTAGAACAACTTTTTGATCAGTTCTATCCTTTTCCATCACTATTTCAAAACTAATAGAGTTACGATCACTGGCCTCAAAGTGCTCCCCCACTGACACCTCAGTCACTTACCCAGCCTTATTTCCCAACAGAAGGCAAATATTGCTCCTTCTCTAGTAGGTACATCCACATATTGAATACGAACATTTTCTTGTGCACACTTAACAAATTCTTCTCCATCCAAGCACTTAATACTATGGCAGTCCCAGTCTATGTTTGGACAGTTAAAATCCCCTCCATTACAACCCTATTACTCTTACAGATATCTCAGATCTCCTTACATATTTGCTTCTCAATTTCCTGCTGACTATTGGAGGGTCTATAATACAATCGCAATAAGATGATCATCCCTTTCTTATTTTTCAGTTCTACCCGTGTAACTTCACTGGACCATCTCCCAGGAATGTCCTCCCTAAGTACAACCATTATCCCTAGCTAAAAACACCACCCCAATCCCTCCTTGCTTTCTTCCATTTCTAACCTTCCTGTAGCATCTATACCCTGGAACATTATGTTGGCAGTTCTTATTGGGACTTCATTCTTTGTAGTTTAAAAGAATGAGAGATGACCCTACTGAAATGTACAAGATCCTCAGGAGATGACTGGGTGAATGGTGAGAGGATGCTTCCCCTTGCTGGAGACATTAGAACTAAGAAACAGTTTAAAATATTAGTGGTCTTCTATTTAAGATAGAAATTAGGATACTTATCTTCTCTCAAAGGGTTGAGATCTTTGTAAATTTCTTCCCTAAAGAGCAGTGAAGGCAGATCAATGGATATTTAATGCTGAGTTAGATAGATTCTTGATTAACAAAGAAGTCAAAAGTTATACAGGGTAGATAGGAAAGTACAGTGAGGCCACACTCAGATCATGATAAAACGGTGGAGTTCCTCATTGGTATGCTTGCATTAATGGTGTCTCCTGAGAATCCATTGTTGGTCCACTTGCTATATCTTATTTACACTCTCTCCACAGCAACATCATCTATAAAACAACTGTTTTCGTATGTGTGGTAATAATACCCAGTTTTAGCTTAACTCAGCCTCTCACGACACCCCCTCACAGTCTCTAAGCTATCAATCTCTGATGAGAAAAAAATTCTCCCAACTAATTATTGAGAAGACAGAAGCCATAATCTTTGGTACATCTCACCAACTCGATTCCCCATTCTGGAAACTGTTTGAAGCTAAGCCAGGCTGCTTCCAACCTCTTCACCCCAAGAATTTTTTCACACACTTATCCTCGCTGTCACAAAGACCATGTTCATTTACATTTCACAGCCTTCCTTTCCCTCCCTCTTGGTACTCCTTACCACCTGCTCTCTACCCTTCCCACTTCCTAATGGTTGCCATTCTCTCTCCCTTCCACTGGCCACTGTTCTCTCTACCATCACTCTTCGGATTCCTCTGCTACTTCGCTGTCAATATCCTTCACCTGAACTAGCAAGGATTTGGAAAAGGGGCAGCAAGTGAGGAGTTGAGTGGGAATTAGAGAGAGGGTCAGAGGGGAGCAAAGGAGATGGTGAGAGCAAACAATCTCATGGAAAGTATCTGGAACTGGAGAACAGATTTTCAGAATAAGGTATAACCTGTTTAAAACAGAGATGAGAATGAACCTTTAGTTAGAGAAATTCTCTTCCCCAGAGGGAAGTGCAGGCTGGTTCATTAACTATATTCAAAGCTGATGTAAACAGATTGTCGAACTATGAGGAAAGTGGGAGTGGTGATGAAGGGTTATGGGGAAGAGGGATGAAGAGTTGAGACCACAATGAGTTCAATCAAGATTTTTATATATTGGAGGTTCAAGAAGCCATATCACCTAAACTGTCTCCTGTTTCTTATATTACTTTAGAATAAAAGAATGAGCCATACCCTGATAAGGAAAAGAAAACAAAACTCAAACAATAATTATAACTAGCATTTACTATGTACAATAAATGAGGTGAGGTTACTCAGCATTATAACTTTTGACTTTATAGTACCATTATAGTATATATAAACACAAACAAAGTTCCCAAAACATCATTATAATGCATGTTAGGAAAACAGCTGACTCACCAAGGGGCTATCTGTCTGTATCTTTCATATTCAAACAGAAACACAAAAAAGACTTACCCATTGGCAATCCAGTGATGGCTTTAATTACAAGGACACCTGCAGCTCCCGGAATACTTAATAGTCTTAAGATTTCTTTCACACTGAAGATGCTATTACTGCGAGCAATTTCTGCAACAGAAATGTGTATTTCACTGCTTAGTGTTGTGCTTGCTCCTTGTTCCAGAAACACATACTTTAATTGTCATATTTTTACTGCCCACCCTGCTCAAATTAGTTGACTCTTCTGACTCAATATAACTCAGGGATTGTATTTGTGACTTTCCATTCAGTGTGGTTTAAACCTGTTGCCCATAACATCTTTAGGGAGTTGCTCATTTTATAAACAATTACTGCTTCAGGTACTAAGGAAAGCGAGGAAGATTATTTTAGTTGCTCACAAAAATAACTCCTGAGACACTTAAGAAAGATGCCAAACAACTGCCAGTTGATACTGAATAATCTGCACTTATTTCTATTAGAAACTGATTTGAGACTGCCCAAACTCAACTCATGAGATCCCAACAGTCATCACAAAGCAGAGACTTTCATTCCATGAGACTATGCTGGGGACAAAGCCACATTTCATAGGTGAAAGAACTATTATAGGATCTTGGAATCCTTGGAACCAGGCCTTTTGGCCCATCGAGTCCACACCAAAGTGCATCTCACCCAAACCCCACCCACACACTGATTCAGTGCCTTTGATCCATATTCTTTAACCAACAAAAATCTATTGAAGGTAGACAAACTGGAGGCTGGAAGAACACAGCAAGCCAGGCAGCATGTGGACGAAATGAGAAGTCAACATTCCGGGTTTTACTCTTCTTCAGGATCTGAGATACAGATCAATCAAAGGGGCTGATTGCTTTTGTGTTTAATTTGTATGATACAATATTAGTGCATCAGCATCTTTACACAGTGAACCACTGGCAAAAAAAAAGCCAGATTATATTTCTTGATAAGGCAAAGAATAATGGTATTGATAACATATTTCTCACGCAGACATAGGAAGCAACATAGTTGGATACTCTTGGCACTCAGTTACATCAAATAAGCAGCACAGATCCTACTAAGAGTTTGCCTCACAAATGAAACATTTATAATACTGATTACATAATATGCTTCAGAAAGAAGCCATTATTTAACATCTGTGAGAAGGTTAGTTGGAAATATCCATCTGACAGAATGCTAATTTAGCAGAAACTATGTGGCTACCATCTTGGTAATAAGCAATACACTTGAAAACGCTTTTAGGAGAATATTAACATGTCAAAAATAGATTAAGCTCAGTTTTTAATTATCAAGTATCATCCTAACAATGTGAGATCTGATCACAAATTAAAGAAACTTCTAACTTGTTTGTCTACGTTGGATTCCAGCATCTGCAGTTTTTTTGTCTCTAAAAGTCTATTGACTTCAGACTTAAAGGTGACAATTGAACCATCATCGACAGATATTTAGAAATGAGAGTGTTTCAGATTTATACTATTTGTGAAAATGTCTCTAATTCTCTAATTATCTATCAAAGGAGCTGATTGAAAGTAAGAAATCAGGTGAGGAATTGAAACTAGCCTCAGTACTATGTCACAGAAGAAGGAAGAATTTGTTCAGTAATCATACACTTGATTGCACTATTCGAGTTCTGTTGGACAGCACCAGTGAACAGATGACCACCGGTACTGTTTGGCAGGTTTGAATGTTACAGGTTGAATTTTAATGGATTTTCACAGGAGATTAAATCAAGAGAAATTGCTTCGTTTTACAAATGGATCATTATATAGAAGTTATAGGTTTAAAATAGCCGGCAAACAAATGAGAGGGGAAATGAGAAAAATTTGGTTCACAAGGATTTTTAAACTCTGGAATGCATGATATGAAAAGGTGGTTTAATCAGAAACTATAGAAACTTTCAAAACAGCATCAACGCAAAGGCAACTAATTTGTACAATTATAAGGAAAAATAAGTCTGATCATAAACATGAAATAGCTTCTTCCAGCACATGGTGTGCAGCCCTTTATCCTGCAAAAATCTATGAAATTTTCATAGGAATCTGATGGCAAAATGTGGAATCACACTTTACTATAAATCTTCAGGACTGGAAAGTTAAGGGGAAGAAACAGAAAGAGCAGATAAAGAGGACAGAAATATAAACGTAGAAAGACTTACACAAGGATTAGCTATACATATTTTGACATATACTGTGACAGATACAAAATCCAACCGACCTGGTTTGTTCTCCTTTGTCAAAGTTATAGATTTGGTATCAGCTGGGATGTATTTCATTACTACAATGGTGTTAAGGACAGATCCAGCTGCTGCAGTATAGGCTGCGAATGACTCCCTGAAGGAGGCAACATCATATTAGATAAACATTATAAGTTTGCATCATACATCTGTCTTCAATGAACGCATTTACTTTCTTTACTTTAATTAGAATCAGGTCACGACATCAGATTTAGAGATATTAAGAAGTCTTTCCTTTGATCATTGTGCATAAAAGGAATCTTTGTTTCACTGCTTTACATTGGCATTGACTGCATTGACATAACTAACAGGAATCTCCACTAATCTGAGCAAATTGATTTTTTTATCCATTGTTTCAGACAGCCAACAACTCACTTCTGTAGAAATGTGAATTTCTGGATCTGCAGACAGACAATTGTGTTCCCCATTGTGTATGGTCTGAACCTAGGTATGTTCTTGTACAACATGCTTTATTCAAATATTTTACGTAGCATTATCAATCATACACATAATGGAATTTAATACAATTAGGTTCAATTGAAAATCTCTGGTTCAAAAGAATGAATAGAATAATGGCTGGAATTAACTTTAGCCATCAGCTTTTTTCTCAAGTTCTAGTAAATAATTTGATCAATTTTCTCCCTGCTTTATTACATTACGATATCTTAATTGCAGAAATTCCCACTTTCTGCATATGGAAGTGGGTGATAATTGGATGGATCTTGGATGTGAAACATGACACGGTTGTATAGATCTCTAATACTCAAATATTCAGTCTGTACATGCACCTCTAATAAATTAAAAAGGTTGCATATTTGCAGAGGGCCTTTAACATAATAAATTTTATAAAGAGCTTTAAAGATGCAATACTTATAAAAATTAGACATCGATCCAAATAAGGTAATATTAGGGCAGATAACCAAAAGTTTTCAAAGATACATGTTTGAAGCAGTGTCTTAAAGGAAAATTAGAAAAGCAGTGAAATTTTTTGGGGGTGGAGGGATCAGTGTGATTCCACCGATTGAACGTAGACAGTTGAAAGTGTGGCCACCAAATAAAACCAGGATCCTTAAGACTCAGAATTAGACGTGCACCTATATCTTGGACAGTTGTAGGGCTGGAAGAGTGATACTGTAGAGGGATTTGGATTTTGAAATAGAATTTCAAAATTGAAGTGTTGCTGTAAGCAAGTACAGGAATGAAAGGGGAAAGGGAAATGGTGCAAGTCGGGATACAGGCAGCCGACATTTGGATTAGCTCAAATTTACAGAGGATTAACTGTGCCAGGCTAGCCCAGAGCACGAAAGGATAGTCAAATCAAGAAGTAACAAAGGCATGAATCAGGGTTTCATTAGTAAATGACTGAGGCAGATATAAAGTTTTGTCTTAGTGACAGTAAAACAAAGCAAAGTATTGCTGATGTTGGAAATTTCAAATAAAAACAAAGAGCTCGAGGAACTCACAGGTCTGACACCATCCCCAAAGAGAGAAACAGAGTTAACATCCAATGATTCTTGTTTGGAACTGAAGAGAATTGTGTAAAAGCGATGGATTTTATTTTATACCATAGAAAATAATAGGGAGGAGCAAGTGGAACAGAAAGGAAAGTCAGTGGAAGGTTAGAGGCCGAGAGAGATTAGAGATCACAGATATCACAAACTAAAGGCAAAGGGAGCGACTAAGATGCTGGTCTTAGTGACAGCATAGATTTGTGATCAGAAACCCAACCTGGAGTCAAACGTGATATCAAAGTCTTGGTCAGACTCAGACAGTTGCCAGGGAGTTGGCATCCTAAGAACAAAATTGGAGCAAAGACGGAAGACAATGGCTTTGGTTTGCCCCACATTTAATTCGAGAAAATTTTTGTTACAGCACTGCATGTTGGATAAGCTGTAGTTAGTGATGTAGAACTAGTTGCTATTAGTGTAAATGTGTAAAATTTCACTGTGCTTTTGGACAATGCTACAAAGAGGAAGCACATAGATGAGAAATTGGAGGGGTCAAGGATAAACCTTCGTAAGACACAACAGGTATATGTTGCAAGTGCACGAAGAGAAGCCATTGCCAGCTAACAATCAAATATGAGGAAGAGATTTTAAGGGACAATAGCACAGAGCATAAACATTGCTCAAAGGAGACGTGAAGTTGAAGCCATTTGTTTTGCACTAATCCTAACTAGGACATAAGAAACATACAATATTTTAAGAATATAAAGAAGGAATTTGTATTTACATAATACCTTTCACATTGTTGCATCTCCCAATATAATCTGAACGCAATGAATTTTGTGAAGTTTTGTAGCGAAGACAGCAACTAATTAGTACATAGAAAGGTCGCACAAATGGCAATGAGATAGATGAAAGTACATTTGCTATTCAAGCTAGTGATCTTTCCATCTGCAACCTACATTCAATAATGATATAAAATTTATTGCAGAGTACTGCTTGAAATGATATTGTCATCCAATTATCACAAAGATTCTGTACTTCGATAACATTCACCTGCTAATTCAATTGCCTCTTCTGAACTCTCTCGTGGACAGCTTTTCAAACCCAATGCTCAGCTTGTTTACTTGAACGGCACTCGTGACTATCCACTAACATACAACAACCAGTTTCTGAAATCGACTGAGTAAGTCAAAATTCAAAATAAACTAACCGATAAGTTTACCATCTCTACTTGGAGTCCATTTTTACACATAAGGCTCATCTCCTCTCCCTCTGCTATCCAGTGTGTAATATGACGTCCCTGTTTGGCTTGCTTACCATACATACCTAGTTGCTCACTATAATCATGCATCAGGCACACTGCACCCTATTCCCACCCCTTAGTTTACCCATATCTTCAAATCATTCAGATGAAATAGCATTATCAACAAACAAAATTAGTGACAAAATTGTGTTGCCAATTCACTCTGAGTTGGTCTATCTGCCAACATAGAATCTCTCTTTGAGATATTCATTTTGGTCAAACTTGTGATATTCCACGGTGGCTCAGTGGTTAGCACTGCTACCTCACAGCACCAGGGACCCGGGTTCAATTCCACCCTCTGGTGACTGCCTGTGTTGAGTTTGCACATACTCCCCGTGTCTGCGTGGGTTTCCTCTGGGTGCTCCGGTTTTCTCCCACAGTCCAAAGATGTGCAGGTTAGGTGGATTGGCCTTGCTAAATTGCCCATAGTGTTCAGGGATGTGTAGATTAGGTGTATTATAGGGATGCTCTGAGGGTTGGTGTGGACTTGTTGGGCTGAAGGGCCTGTTTCCACACTGTAGGGATCTATGATCGATGATCTATTCCTCTGATTTTTCATGACGAACTAGCTGTCTTGAAGTGTGGATTACAGAGTCTCCAAGAAATCACTATACCTGATTGTCAGGCTTCAATTAGCAAGGTTGTAGTACGGTACGTCTCAAAGGAATTCAAACTAAGCAGGGAGGGTACACTTTAAATCTTCACCCATGAGGCCTTCTTGACAATTATAAATTTGTTTGTAGACAGAGTTGAAACTTTGGTGAGGATTTTTTTACTTACGCGCTAACCATTTTGCAGAAATCCTTGACTATGCTGCCAAGAGCACGCTCAGAGCAGTTGCGATTTATGATAAAGCTGAAATTTTTTGTAATAGTCAACATTGCTTAGATTATGAAAAGTTGATTCATTGGTGAATTTATTTATTCACCAATGATTCATTTATTCAATTCAATAGCAGATGCAATTACATGGTTTAGGGCTCATCACCAAGAAATATTAAGTTTAGAGTAGGATTTGAAACATTCCAATGGATACAGTAGTGGAAGCAGAATCGTTTGAGGTCTTCAAAAGAGAATTGGATAATAATGTAAATAGAAAAGAAAATGCAAGGTACAGTGGAGTGGAACTAAGTGAGCTGTTCTTGCAGATAGTCAGCATGGACACAATGGTCTAAATAACTTTCTTACGTGATAATTGTTCTACAATTATAGGAAAATGTGGTGATGGGTTGGATGTGAAGGATGGGGCCACACATAGGCAAGTAACAGAACGTAGTTTCTTATTCACTAAAACAACTATTCTGGATGGTCTAACAGATTGAAATAACAAAGAAAACCCATTTGGAATTGGAATCACACAGCATAATTAGTCAAACATAAGGCAAATAAGAATATAAGAACATAAGAACTAGGCACAATAGTGGACAATTCAATACCTTGAGCCAGTTCTGCCTGTTGATATGATCATAATTCATCTCATCTTGACCTCAACTCCACTTTCCTGCCTGCTCTCAATAACCCTTCCATCCATTAATTAAAAATGAGTTAATTTGAGGAGGAGATAGACAACATCCCAGCACCTACTGCACTCTGGGGTAGTGAATTCCATAGATTCATGATCCTTTAAAAGAAGTAATTTCTTTTCATCACTGTTTTAAATTTGCTACTCTTCATCCAAAAATTATGACTTGTATGCAGCCAACCATATAAATTGGTCAACTATATCTGAAGTCTGCCATAGAATAAACAAACTTCCTTCATTTATCCCCAGGGTTGATACTATTTTTAATTAATCTAGATTTGATATAACTACTTAAAATAATATAATATATCACTGAAATCTCTGGTTTTTCTAACAACCACCCTACCATTTCACATAGCTCTGACATCTCCACAACTACTACCTCCAACAGTGTAGAATCATGTGAGAACACACACAGTTTTATTTGATAAAAAGTGCTCATTTGAGTATGATCCAAATTATGGTTCCCTTGGAACTTTAACCAAATTAAAAGGAGGAGAGTAAGGAAAAATAATTTTGTTTTCTGAAGAAATCATTCAGGAAGGAACAGCAAGGACAAATGGATTTTTTTTAAAACAGTCAAAACACCACAGAAAGAATAAACAGTCCTGCATGCCAGTTTCCTATCACTTAAAAATACTCCTGCTGTTTAGAAGTATAAATGCCAGGAAGTGGTTGAGTGTTGACTACAACATTCTGGATCTAATTAAATGCAAACCAAACACAGTGTTGGGTGTTCAGGATGTACCACTTCCTCCTTCCCACTCTCTATAAACCTGACAACAATCCAAACTATCAGAGTGCAAGCCCAAATATACATACAAT